TTGCATTTTCCTCCTTCTGTATTTCTTCTGTTTCATATTCAGCTAAGCATGAGCATGTAGATAACTGATGTTGAAGAGAACTGTTACTCGTTCTCCATTCTTACCTTTCAGAAGCACTGTTCAGTTCTGATAAGATACTCCTCTCTCAAGGGACTTATTCAGCAGTTTAACTCTGAAAGTTTAGCTGTACAGAGTTTGAGGGCAGCAGTTGCATGTTTACTCATGCAGCTGTGTGTTAGGCACGTGTTGATCATTTTTTTTACTTAATTAAACTGGCAGAGGTATGCCTTACTGACGTAAGCAGAGTGCGTGTTTACAGCAGTGTATAGCAGAGTGATATAACCAGTGGTTGAAAGGGTTGAAGTTCTACGTGTGGCATGCTCTCCTTTGTGGATATTCAAACAACTGTAAGTGCACATTTTCATCTGTATTGTTAATGGACAAGTTCCATATATAACTGTGATTTCTGTTTTTGTTTATTGGGTATGCTAACGTATCTTGCAAGAGGAGGAGGCCTTTTAACCTGTTTGCAGAAAAACAAAGTTTCAAAACAAGTTTCTGTAAAAGGAGAATCTTAAGTTAAACAATTAATATGTAAATTCTGTTTGGCTTAATTGCATTAAAAATTAAGACTTATGTTCTAAATAGTCAACTCAAATATAACCGATGCAAAATCAAGCTGAAAAGTATTCACACAGTCATGCGACTTACTGAATATTTTCTCAGCTGTATTGGTTTAGAATAGTATTATCTCTAATCCCATGCTATTTCAAACTTGACTAGCTCTTGAATTTTAGTTTGGTAGACTTTTTCAACTCCCTAAGCAGAATCATTTTTGTGCTGAAACACTAATCTCTGCATATGGCACTGCATATTCTTTGCTTCAGTCTCTACCAACCAGTGCCCAGTTTAACTGTAAGGGCTTCAGTTATTTTTGTTTCTGACTGTATTCTTCTTGAAGCAGGATTTAACTAGAGGGGCAGCAGAGGGTTCTTGAAGAATACTTTCTCACTACACAAAGTAGTTGCTTTCAGTATCCAGGAAATTGGATGCTGATATGCTGTTATGAGGAGAGGGTGCAGTAAATAAAGCGTACTGCAAACTAACATAGGTATGCCTACTTTAATCCTGAGCGGAATACCTAGATCACTACTGTTCAAGTATTCTGCAAACTTCTTTGTAGGGCTATTGTCTGTATTGGAATTTTTATGACCTTATCTTGCACCATAAGGACTTGAATGCAGGAGAATTAGTCCATCTTGTTGGTGGACCCTGCTCAGTCTTTGCCAGGAACAGAGATTCTGAAGCCTTTCCTGCAAGCCTGTTTTAGTCATTTGCCTCTACTCTGTGAAGAATTCCTCCTTTCATCTGCTAGGAATTCACCTTGCTGTGCCTCGTACCTGATATTTCCGTTTTTTTCCAAGCACAGTACAAAAATTGGGTTCTCCATTAGCATTTTTCTCCTCCAGGCTAAATAAAACTAGGTGTCTTAGTTAATTCTTGAGAATGGTGTTTCCATCCTGAAATGGATGACCTTCCACTGGGCTCTATCCAGTGTATCAGTCTTTCGCATGTTCTGAAGTTGACAAAAGTGGCCACAACACTACACACAGAGCTTCTCAACTTCTCCTGAGAAAGGAATATGAATTTTCCTTTGCAATTTAGCATTGCTCTTTCCTCTGTCACCTGGAATGTGATTAACCTTCTTTGTCACAAGTAGACTTTGTTAAACATGTCTGTCAGGACACTAGATCCAACCTCTTTCTGACCCTTAGTCCTTTTCTGCAAAACTACTCTCTAGCCAACTAAACCTCAGCCTGCACTGTTACATGGGACTACTCCATCCCACTTGGGTCTGTTATTTCATCTCGCCAGCTTCTTGATGTATCATTGATTAGCAGCCTTTGGCCTTCAGTGTATGGACTGCTTTCCCTAGGTTTTGGTCCCTTGCTGATGGTGTATTCTGTCTCACCATTCAGGGTACTAATAAGTAGATCAAGCAGTATAGAATCTAATAGTGACTCCTGAGGTTTATCCCTGGTTAAACTTCAGTCAGTATCATCAACCCTTTGAGCCCAGTAGTTCAGGCAGTTTTTCAGCCTTGTTCTCCATGCATTAAACTCATAACTGATTTGACTGCAAAATCTACTACAGGTTTATTTCAAAAGTCCATCCAATATGATGGCTATGAAAGTGCAGTTTCATATATGAAAGACCTTTTGGCATACTTGTAATAAATAGCATATGAAATACTAATGAAGTATGCTGAAGAAGAATGTAAGCTCAAAATAGAATGGTACAAAAAGCATCTTCTGGAATGATCAGGATAATAGACAGTCAGTGTAGAGAACAGAAGAAAATCATAGTCTTATGGAACTTTGTAAAATAGAATGGAGGATTAATTTGGTTACAAAGAAGGAACCTTGATGGAATAAGATATAATCAGAATATGAATGAAACCATCTCATAGAAACATAGTGACCTTCTAGTTAATGAAGTTAATACCATTTAATTAATACTGTTTCAAATAGCCATCTCAAAACTTGTAGGGACAAAATGGTAGCTGTTTCCAAGCTACACCTCAGTTGGTTTGAGTGAAGTAGTAATTTTGTTCACTGTAAAGCAAAAATGAGTAGTGTTGACCTGAACTCTATTTTTTTTGTAAGAGGCCACGTACTGTAGGTGAACTGCTGAACTGTGAACTACCTTGATGTGCATATCCAAAGATTTCTTTCTATGAAAAGATGTAGTTACGAGTATGTAACCTTCAAACCATTTTGTCTTCTGGTTTACTCTTACATGGTTTACTCAGAATGCTAGCATGGATTCTGTACATGAAATATATACTAGATTTGAGAGGAGGGATTGTTTTATTCTCAGCCTTTAATTTTCCTCTATTTAGCTTGACATTCTATGGCATGCTTTTTGTGATGCTTCTAGTTGCGTAGTTGCATACTGTTGACATGCTGGATTTTTCCACAGGACAGATGTGGGAAATCCTAGTGTAATGTGACTGTGTGCAGCAGGTTCAGGATATCATAGCAATATTACTGGATACTTGAATAAGTATCCTTGTTTCTCCCATGTCAGAATTTTTTGAGCTTAACTTGTGCACACAGTTTTGAAAGCCCAAACTTTCCCATGTCACGTGACATGCCAGGCTTACTGGTCCTGTTTCTTAGTGATCTGAGAAGTTTACGGGTGCAGTTTGGTGATAGAGCATGCATTTGGCAGGCTAAAGGCAAGACAGCGTTGACTATAAAATTGTCAACATTTGAGTATGTGGAACAGCAACTATATAATGGTGTCAGGAATTCAGTTGGGTTTTTTGTTTTATTTTGAAGGAGGGATGGAGGGGAAGAGTCTCCTGAAGCCATCATATACTTATGGCCCATTTTAAGTTACACCACTTACGTGACAGGGACTAAGCTTGAAGAAGCAATAAGTCTTAAGGGTCATTATTGTCATTCTGAAAAGCAAGAAGTTCACAAGTTGATGGGAGGAATGACGTGTATATATAATGAAGTGCTGTGGAAAATAAGTGATCAAACTATGCTATCATTTGTATGCTAGACAGGAATGCTACTAAAGCTTTGCATTTAACTACTTGACTCTGAAAATGCACATCCAATACAATTTACAGTATGTATTTTTTTAAGAGAACAGAAAATGATGAAATTAAAATGAGTACTAGTAGTTCAGATGATTTAGTAATAAATCTGGATGTCACAAATACTCCTTGCCTTTTTCCTTGCCTTACAGTTACATAGGTAGAGTGAAGCTTCACTGCTCAAGAGCCAGTCATGCATGACTGGACTCTGTTCTCAAGACAGTAGCAAGTATCTGGTGAAACTCCTTGTAGTAGGGGCAGGTAGATGAGGAGCTGCTGGACTTATCTTCCTTTGCACCATAGTAGGATCTCTGGAAGTTTTTAGTGAACTCTGACTACATGGGGCATCCATTTAATCTGTTCACCACCTGTTTTTAAGATGCTTTCATACAAATGATGATTTTGAGTCTTTCTCAAAATCACAATGTCTGCTGCAGTTGCATAAAAATGACTGTTGTAGTCCTTTAGCCAACTTGTTTGAGAGGGTGTTGGGATGAAGAGTTTTGGTTAAGGCATTAAACTATGACTAATGTGAGGGCTGCTCCAAAAGTGATGCCTCCTATTTTGTGATGCCAACCCACAACATCAGAGGCGGATGTTGATGGTATGGTAGTAGAGGTTGAACTTTCCCACCAGCATTCTATTACATGTTATTGTCATGTGACAAATGGTAACAGAGGGCAGTCTGACATGGTTTCTGACATGGAAGACAGATGAAGCAAAGGTGAGTCATTGAATGACTCCATGTGGAAAAAAATGATACTGACATTCATTGATGTTTGCTGAACTGAATGTTTATGGAGACCAAACAGTGGATGTGAGCACAGTGAGGTTGATAGGTGGTGCATTTCAGCACTGGTGTTAGTAGATCACCTATGCTGGTACACATTTTTACAAGCATGGCAAGCAGGCTTTTGTGCATGGCTGACAAAAATGCACGCCTAATGGTGATGATGGTGACTATGTTGATAAATAGTGTTTTGCAGTTGAGAATTTTCTCTATCAAATACTGTTATTGTGTTCTTTGTTTCTTCTGTACTTTCTATGGAAGTAAATGTGTGGCATTACTTCTGAAGCAACCTACATAGTTTAGCATCCTGATACTAGAAACTTCGTGTGCTACTTTATCAGCTATACATTCATAATAAAGCAGTGAGATGCATCAGACTGCTGGTGCCATTAGCGTTTGTTATTTTGCTGTGTCTCCTCACAAGTCTAAAATCACTTCCATGTCCACTGTCCTTGCAGAAACAAACATCTTTTATCACTTCTTGTCTATTTGTTATCAAAGCTCATTTTTCCTTCATTATTTTTCTCCTTTTTTTTTCTTACCTTTTTTACTTTTCTTCAACTGTCAGTGGAATTATTGTCTTCCTGTCTCCATATTCAGGTAGTATCAGTGGCTGAGTATCACCGCAGGATCGATGCTCTAAATAGTGAAGAACTGCGCACACTCTGCAGACGACTCCAGGTGCCCTCTTCAGTAGTTTAAAATCCATCTCCAGATAATTTTGTAGTGTCTTTGATCAGGGCAAGTCCCACTCTAAGGTGGGTTTGTCTTGTCTACAAACAACACTACAAGGATCCAGCAGAAAATTCCTCTGTTTTGGATGTATTTAACTGTGTAATGATATGATGGAATGCAGTAATTTTATGATGAAATTATTACTTTGACTCTCTCAAACAGGAATTTTCTGTCAGAATTCAAAAAAACTTGTTCTTAGTACTACTTGACTTGGTCTTTCAACTTCCACTTTGTACTGGTGTGTTGTGTTAGATAGTTTTCCTAAAAAGAATGCAAAACAGGTGAAGAATTCAAAAGTTTATTACCTGGTTGCGTGGGTGTTTAATATAGAAATTATTCATCAAGAATCTCACAGTGCTTGGCAAACACGAAGCTTCACAACTTCTCTGGAATAGGTAAGTAGGTAAGAAGGCTGTTCAAAGTGTCAAAAGCTGTACAAATGATGCTTGTAACGGAACTTTCTATTCCAGTAACAGTGTCTCAGTTCATATTTTTGGAGTCTTACTGAAATGGACTTTAACTGATTTTTGCATTCTCTTTAGGTAATCCTTTAGTTCTTTGATAGTTACAATTCTGAATTGATTTGTAAATCACATGTAACTTACTGACGGAAACATAACGTACAGCTCCTTAGAAGTGTGAAATATTTTGGTTTGTAATAATTGGCTGCTCAAAGTGTAGAAAGTTTCCTGCTTCTTTTTGTCTTTTATCTTGGGTTTTTTCACCCATTATGTAATTATATGTAAGAAAATCTTAGTCCTTTTGTTTCATTGTAGTTAGTTAAGTCTTTTATAAGCTGCTATGTTCTATCAATTGATAGTTAGCACAATTCCAGAAGTTGTTTCTATAGGAAAATCAAAAATTCTGCAGAGAATGTTTAATTCCCACTTTGGGGGGGGAGGAGGGAAGAACAGTTGTTTCTGGCAAATGTTAGTGGGCAATCCTTACAGTTATATCCTTGAAATGCAACAGTTCTTTCTGAATAATTTTTATCTGGGGTCTCCAATTCAAGATGTAAACTGACACAAAATCTGATGCAGTGACCTTCAGGAAGCTCTGCATGCTTCAAGCAGTCTGCTCTGAAGCCATTTGAGTCTTTATGTGGTATAGGCTGCCTGACAGTTACTAACCACAGCTGCTCCTGGAATGGCATTGTAGGTCAGTCTGCGTAGTGGAAGTTGAGGAGGAAATATGCTCCACATGTTTCAGAGCTGCACTTTGTTTTGTCACAGATCCTTTCTAACAGATACAGTTCTATGTGTACTTCTGTGCACGTGTTTTGCTTGGTGTACCTTAATCAGTATTAAAGAATAACATAGGGAGTAAACTTTCTCCCGTATTCCCGAACAATGTTGGAGACTTATAGAGTTGAAGTAGTGGTGTATGAGTGGCATGTAAGGTAGAAAACAATTGGGCTTTCAAATAATGTGTTCTATAGATAACACTCCAAAGCTGTATCTAGAATATCTCTTTGTATTTAATATGAATAATGTGTATAAATGCTTTTTCTAATGAGACAGAAATTAATATGGTTACTTTACCTAGAAATACTCAACTTTCTGTGGAAAATTGGAAGGCTTTGAATTTTTAGCTTGATTGATTCTTGCTTTCTTTAAGTGCACCATTTCTTGACTTAAGAGTAATACTGTAACCAAGTTATTTTATAGATATACTTTATACATATGTATTTTTAAGTAACAGGAGTGTAATAGAACTTTTGTAATTCTTGAGGGAAAGAAAAAGGATAATTTGGGGTTGGACTCTTTTTCTGTGATTTTTCACCCTCTTCTCCATGTGGCTGTATTTAAGTATTCCTATCTGTATTGCAGCAGTATTTTTTTTCACTCTTTCCCTGTGTTAACTAAAAGTTCATTTATCAAAAAATTTGCAAAGTATATCATGGCGGTATGGTGTCACGGAGTTAACTAGATCAATCTATGCCTGTGATGGTGCCCTCTCCTCTCCCCCACCTTACCCTCACCTCCTCGGCCCCACAAAGTGGAAAGGAAAAGGGATAAGGAGATGGGAGCTGGGCTTAAGGGGAAAAAAAAAAAAAAGGCAGCAACGATCTATGGAGGTAAACTTATTTTACTAACTATGATATCAGAATGCAAGATAACACAATATAATTCAATCTAATTGAAACTGAGACTAATAAATCAAATAAAATAGGAGAGAGAGTTTCTGAGACCAGGTCAAACCTGAAAAGCTTGGAACAGCTAGGAAAGCACCCTTCAGCACCCACTGCCAGGCAGTAAGAGTCTGCCCAACCCAGATCCCATTACTCCCACAATGTACAGGTACAGGTACCTGGAACTGGAGCATTAACACTTTAACTCCCAGTGTACTACATGATGTTATGATGTGGAATACCAAAAACTAAAAAACACAAAACCATGACATATGTGAAATAACATTGCTGTCCTGTATGTTTTCTAAGATGAGCTGTGTGGCAAACACTGGCTATTGCTTTGGAAGTTGCAAGTATTTCCTTGAAATTCAGGCTTCAAATAATTTAGTCTGACCTTCAGTGAAACTTGGTTCAGGTATTATAATTCTTGTTAAGGTTTTTTTTTGTAACTTTGAGAGATTTAGCAGTAAGTCTTGCTGCAGTGTGTTAAGTTGCTAACTTCCCTATCTTTCTGCCCTATCTTATTATCAGACTTCACTATCTCCACAGTTTTAACCATCTCTGTAGCAAGACTTATAAAAGGAAAACTGTTTGATTCTTAGTTGGTCTTTTTCTTGATGGATGACATTTTAGCTTCAAAGTGTTAATGAATGAGAGCTGAGGTAAGAAGCTGCTGTGATCTGATGAGTTTTGTGGCCTTCTGCCACTTCCAGTCAATGGTAATCAACACATAAAAAGGGTAGATATATGGGACAGCTATTTTAAACTACTACAGGAACATTAGATAATGTGTCTGTGCCAAATCTCCAAAGATCATTATGCAGCATAAGTATTCCTGCTACTTTCTTCTCATCACTCCTCTCTACTATGAGTTGTCTTCTTTTTTCCATAAGTATTCCAGCAGATCACCTCATATAACAGCAATCTTCCTAGGACTCTATTCAGATACTTTACTCAAGTTAAATAACACCAGTCTTTTAGCTATGTGGTAGAAATGGAAACTTTCACGAGTACACTGGAAGTATTGGTGCAGAACCTAATGAGAAATGAGGTTGAAGTTTCAGTCCCTTTTCTATGCCTGAGTATTTTAAATTACACGTAAAGTGGATGATATGATGAAATTAAAATGCAAGCATGTATGTCTTTACTTTAGAAAAGCATCTGAAGTCCTTCAACTGTCTGAGTTTGTTTTTTTTTAGCATGAAACCATGGCTTTCTTCTTAGTGTCTGTAATTTAATGTTAATATATTGAATACTGACTTGCTACTGAAAGCAGCAAAAGTCTTCATCGGGCCAAAGTAATGGATTTCTTAACTTCCAAAGGACTTGCATAGTTGTAAGTTGGTAGCTGCATGATTTTAAACTTGCTGGGTGTATCCTCCCTCTAGTGGAATTGCAAATACTTACTTTGTTTTTTTGTTTGTTTTGTTTTTGTTTTTTTTTTTTTAGATAACAACAAGAGAAGATATCAATTCAAAACAGGCAACAAACATCAAAACAGACCTGGAGCCTGAGGCATTCCGGCCAAATCTTAGTGATCCCAGTGAATTACTTCAGCCAGAGCAAATAGAAAAGGTATTTACTTAGATATGTAGATATATATGTAAGCTTGGGTTTTTTTTTACTTGTTTCTTTAAGTATTGTGTACACTATCAGAAATGCTATGATGCAGTGTGAAACACACAAAGTAATTTAGGAATTTGTGATACAATTCATGCACAACACAATTCATGGATAAACCTTTGCCAACATCATGCCAGCACTAGTCTGTGTCTTTGTTCTTATTTCATTATGCTTTGACACCAGCTTGGTGATAACTGCAATTCTCACTATCCAGTTCAAAGTCATTCTGTTGGATATATTTATTGAATGTTTAGATTAGGGCTTATGGTGTTCAAAGGTTTTAGAACAGGAGAGCAAGCATCCTTTATTCTGTATCTACTACCTATTGACTTCAGTGATCTAGTACCGCAGTGCTGACATGTTCTTGCATAATAATACAATTCTTTACTGTCTTTAGATAACTATAGGACCTTACCAAGCGTGTTCTTTGTTTGGTTAATCATTCTTCACTTGTGGATCACTGGTGGAGGTAGAGAAATGTACATGTGAAATTTTAGGGTTTGTTTGATATTTTAAACTGTTAAGGCTGCTTGCAGTAGCTCAGAAGAATGTAATCAGCCTCCATTTACATATTGCATGTTCTTACAAATGGTAAAAATGAGTAAAAGGATTGTTAATATCTTGTTAACAGCTCACAAAGTCTCTTCCACCACGTACCATTGGATATCCATGGACTCTTGCTTACAGTACTGCAAAGCATGGCATGAGTTTGAAGACTCTGTATCGAACTATGCTGGGATTAGATACACCTGTGTTGTTGGTTATCAAGGACAGTGATGGACAGGTAGGAAAATGTTTGCGTGGAAGCTGGGACCTGTGCAGAAAACTGAGAAGTATAAAGGAAAGGAGGAAGAAGTGTGTGTGAGATGCCTTCCTTCCTAGTAGTTATTATGAGGCTTTTAAAAATATGACTAGCTAAGAAACGAGTTCTTTGACATACATCTTTTATAGGAAGTAACTTTAATGCTACTAGTTCACTATCAAACTGTGTGAGTCTTACAATGTTACTGAGCTTACTCTTAACATTTTCTTTATAACATACTTAAAACATTAGAAATAGTCTCCAAAAACTTCTGATGCCAGAAGTTGAGTAGGAATATCTTTGCCATCTACTGCTAGTACTGCCTCGTACATTCTGTGTCTGCAGAATCTCTCTCCCATATAAGGGCTGCAAGATCTTTGCTGCATAATGTTATATTCCTTGATTCTCTGGCTATGGTGTAAATTTGAAAAAGTGGATTACATCTCACAGCAGACATCCTCTTCTGAGGATTCTATTAAAATATGAACATTACAGGCAGCCTGACTTTGCCTCTCTGAATGTCTGCTGCTCTCTTATGGAAATGACAGAGCCACTCTAAAATCTAACATTTCCTTTACTTATCTATCCCGCTTTGGTAACCACTGTTTTTATTTTCAGGAAGCATGGGCTCATATCACCTCATATCATTCAGGGGGGCTGAAAACTGTAAATAAAGGGTATGTTTTCTAATCTGAGTCCCAACTCACGTATTTTTTCCCTTCCATTTTCTGCTTCATGGATCCCATTCTTGATAAAAATAAAAACGATAAAAACTCCTAAATCTCTGCTAATGTCAAATCTTTTTCAGCTCAAGTTCTTTAAAAGGGAATTTCTTACTACTTTTAATTCTGAAGGTAAAGACTGTTCAATAGGACTTCTAAGTATCTCAGCAGACCTGTAAGCACTTCTTTTTTGGTTACTTCTCTTCTTGTTCCCTTGTTAGCTTCTCAAGATTAATTTGTGAATTCTGCAAGCTATCTAATTCCAAGTACTCATTTGGCCCAGAAAGAAAGTGTCCCTTTCCTGATAAATGTCATGTCACCAGAATGTAGTATTGCCCCTATTGTTGAAACTATTCAGATGACCTTCCATGTATGAATATCTCAACTTGAATGTTGAAGATGTTAAGATCCAGAAACTGTGATAGTTTGAAGCTGCATATAAAATAAGAAATAACTGGAATGTTCAATCTCTTCCTGTTACTGTGAAGCTGCTGGAAAAATTTTCATGTACCAGTTATTCAGATACGGACTTCTCTTTATTTCAGCAACCTATTTTTGTTCTCTTTGTGAATCAGTCTTCATTTGAATTGAATATGGATCTTCAATGTAAAAGATAATTTGAGTTTAATTACCTGCATACAGTAAATGCACCCTGAGGTCACAAAGTCTTTGACGGAGAAATTACACTCAGATTTCTGAAGCTCCAATCTACCATCCCATACACTTGAAAACAATAAGGAAATCTCTTATATTTTGCTTTTTAGAAATAATCTCTTAAAATCAGTCAATTTCTAGACTTTCTAGTGATTACGTATAGAAAGGTAAACTTGGGTTAGACTTCTTAAAATACGGAGTAGTTGTTCCTACTGAACTCCAGCAATAGATAGAACACACTACAGCCAAACCAAATTTAAAAAAAAAAAAAAAAAGCACTTCTGGAAAACAGTGGGGAAATTATTTAAAGGATTCATTCCTTTTGGTCTAATTTGGTTGATTTTTCTTTACCTTATTAGGGAAAAATTGTGGGGAAAAAATGCAGAATTTGTCAAAACATTTTTTCTACTCTATGTTCAGTGAAATAAATATGTATACCAAAGAACTATCAAGCTAGTCCTTCTATGAGCTTGCATTGAAACATCTTCTACGTTCTTGCACTGCAAAAAAAAAAAAAAAAAATTACTTCAGAGTTACAGAAATGTAGTTTGTACAGAAATGTAGTAGTTTGTACTACTTTCCATGGAACTTCAGGGTTTCTGGCTGAGTTTAACAGTGCATTTGAAACTGCTATGTCTTTGAAAAGTGAGTACACTTAGCTGATTAATACTTCATTTCATCTGCTGGTCAAGTAAGTTTAAAACTGTTTGCATTCCTGCAAAGAATCATTTTTAGCGTGTAAGTATTGTTCACAAGTATTCTCCAAGGTAAGGAATCTATTCAATATAGCAATATTCTTGAAAATAATTAAAAAAAATAATAATAATGAGGCTTCTTTAGGTGCTATTTCATTAAGGAAGTTCAGCATGTAAATACTATCTCTTCTGCTCCATAATAGTGGGATGTCTACATTGATTGCAGGAGATTAGTGTATGAATTCATCAAAAAGGATTCAGAAAACGTCATGATTGCTCTCAGTCAGACTTAGGGCACAGTCTGTGCATTAGCAGGACCTTTCAAAGAAAACTATCTCTGAATCTTTGATTGTCTTCTAAAGAATAGGAAATGTTTTCTCATAAATGGCCATTGGAAGACTATTGAGCGGAGGACGATGTTTTGTTTCTTAATGAACACATTATTGCTTTAGGCTTTCTATTATTTCAACTGGAATTACAAAGGTTCTGAACAGAAGTTTTCCTGGACAATGTGAAATTGCTGAGAAATAAATGAAGTTTATAACAGCAGTTGTTCTGAACTGATAATATAAAATCAAGCCAACTTTAAAGCAGCCTTAATTAGATGCTTGTTAGCTGTATGGAATCCTTGAGTTCCTGCTCATATTGTTTCATATCTGTTAATGACTACTATAGAGTTCAGTGAGGAATGAAATGCTTGGAAAACCTATCTGTGGCTATGCAGCTTCTTAGGATGGGTGGAAGAAAACAGTTTGTTTTACATCCTGAACATAAGATAGATGTTCAGGACATGAGTTTCAGTGCCTCACTCTCATCAGTGCTTTGCTTCTCTAAGGCTGGCTATGTAACGTGAATAAAAAACACAGAAACTTTATTTTTTCATTTCCTGTTATGTAAACAAATGAGAGTGGTATTGGACTGCATTGGTGTTTGCTTCTATTCTGCTCTCGTAGATGTTGAAACAAGTTTCCTGCTAGCAACAGAAACATTAATTTGGTGCTTTGTGAAGTGCATTTGATATTTGCCTAATTATGTCAGGGGTTTTTCCAGTTATTCCTGAGAAAACAATAGTATTTGAATTTTAAAATCCAATGATCAGTCCTCAGACATTCTTTTGACTACTGTTGGAATGCTCTTATTGCTAAATATTATCATATTCTTTAACTATCTAAAAAGGCTTTAGCTTAAGTCAGTTTCTGCTGTAAGACAGGGTAACTGTTGCTTGCTTCTTATTTGGCTTAGGAGTAAGTTGCACAAAGAATAACATCTCAGATACAGCTATGAAGTTGCTGAAAGTATCATAGCTGAAGTGAAAGAGAAAATATATAAGAAGTAACAGAACATCTTAAGTTTTTAAATATGTACATTCTTTCTTAGAATTTCCAAATTTAGTTTTTATCTCTTTGATTTTTATGTTCACTTCTTAGTGAGTAGAAGTCCTCTTATCTTCCATTTGCACTGCTATATACCACAATGTAAATCAATGCACTCAGAAGCATGATAATATATAAGGTTTATATTCCTGTATTAAGTTAAAAATCTGGTAACATTTACAATCTGACTGATCTGTTAATATCAATCATTACAGATTCTCAGATGCTCTGTAGTCTTTAAATACTTTCTTTCATGTTTTCATACAGATTTTTGGTGCACTAGCATCTGAACCATTTAAAGTGAGTGATGGATTTTATGGCACTGGGGAGACCTTTCTGTTCACTTTTTCTCCAGATTTTGAGGTAAGAATCTATAACTTGGTATGCATTGATCTTCCTCCTTCCCAACCTCTGATATGCGTCATCTCTTAAGATACTATCTGAATAAGTTTGAGTAAATAATTAGAAAAATTCTAGGAGTTGGCGTAGGAAATACCATCGTATGAGCTTTTTCACAGAATCAGTGTTCAATAAATGTAGTGTGCGCATAGTGAAATTGACTGCTATTCTGGATATTTTTCTAGCATTTAAAATTATGCCAGATCTGTCTGGTAAGTTGAAAATGATTTCATTTTAAAGGTTTTATCTGAAGTGTATTTTTTTTAATTTTCACTGTGCAGAAGCATTAGTGTTCAAGGAGGAGTTGCTTTAGAGTGGTGTTATTTTAAATAGAATAAAACCTAGAGAAAATTTAGTACTACTTCTGTGTCTGAGTATGCCTGTTTCCAGAACTTCTCTGTATACATTTTATAACTTCATTAAATTACCATCTAACATCTATATTGGTGTTTGGTTATCCTTATGCTTAAACGAAAAGTTTACATATTGTAATATTACAATATTACATATTTTTGGTCTGTTTTTTCATTAGGTTTTCAAATGGACAGGAGACAACATGTTCTTCATTAAAGGCGACATGGATTCCCTTGCTTTTGGTGGAGGAGGGTGGGTTATAATTTGTCATTAGGAAGAATCTCTACTGTTTGTGTGCGTCTTTGCACCTTTAAAAAGAAATCAGAATTTTTATTTCAGTTTGATATCTCATTGCTCAATAGTTACCATTTGAGAATGATCTAGTATGTCTTATGCTTAACTTCTAATGTTTAGTAGACTTAGGAAGGACTTCTGTCATCAGTGTAGTTTACACCAAGTTTCAACCACACAAGCTGTCATACCTTTGATGCTCTAACTACATGTGTCCTGGTATATTCCAGATGGACACAAGTTACTTAAGTTTCTGATGGCATATGAATGTGAAAAATACCTACAACCAGAAGGGGCTTGAATTTAAATTTTACTATCACAAGACATGTCAGCATCTTCAGAAATTGATGATGTCTCATCCCTTTTTTCAGTATTTTTCTTCTGCTATTATGCCAGTTTCTTAATACAAAATGAAGGAGATGAAAGCTGCAGTATTCTGGTTAACTTTTCATTCTGGTATATGCAGAAAAAAGTATTCTTAAAATAAGGAAGAAAAATCTTTGCAGCTTTAAATTTATTAACAGCTAGGAAATACTTGTTGATTTCTATTCTATGATTTTTTTTGTTTCTAAATTATGGATGAAAAAATGCATTCAAAAGTTTGATGTTAACTCCCTCAATCTTTTGCTTTCATATGTTGTATGTCTTGCAGTGGGGAATTTGCTCTTTGGCTCGATGGGGATCTCTACCATGGAAGAAGTCATTCATGCAAAACATTTGGGAATCATACACTTTCTAAGAGAGAAGACTTCATTATTCAAGACATAGAAATTTGGGCTTTTGAATGAGTTGTAAATGAGTACTATTTTTACAGGGTATTGTCCCAAACCTGAAATTAATCAATGCAGCTTGAAATCCCTATGAGCAATATAATGCATCAGTTTACCTTTCTTTTTTTTGTAGTTTTCAGCATGGCCATTTAGTTATTTTGCAATAGCGGACCTCTTTCATGCTTCTTTATCTGTAATGCACTGTCTTACGTTTTCTAAGCTGTAGAAACTCAAAAACAAACAAACAAACAAAAAAAACAGACTGTGGACTGAAAAAAGAACATCAGTTACTTTGATCCTTGCAGTCTATAAAACTTTATCATCCTTTTTACAGTTGCCTCCCATGTTTCCCACACACATCTTTCTGTAAATCCTACTGGGGGCTGCTTCATTGAATATAGGTTATTTTTGTATGTAAATTTTTTCTGAGAATGAAGTTGCCCTCTATGATCCTACGTAAGTAGAAAGCTGCGTGTAGGTACTTGGAAGTAGTACTGCAGTGATTGGTCTGGACCAACAATGGGTATATTGTTATGGTGCCACAGATGAGAAGCCTAGCATTCCTTCTTTGACACACGCTAGTTACACTTATGGTTGAGTTAAAAGATATCCAAAGTCAGCAGTGCCACTTGTCTTGATTTTTTTTTTTTTTTTTTTTTCATGTTAAGAAAGTGAGTTAAACAATGTGCTCTAGCTTGCATGATGGCTGTATTAGTTGTTTTGCACATGCTTTTAGTGATCTACAGGTTTGGGACAATAACTGACAATATTGAGCTACATGGCAAAGACTTTAAAAAATAATAATAATAACAAGGGAATGCAAGAATGTAATAGTTCCAGGAAACTAAAAGGCTAAGGCAAGTAAAACTCAAGACAATTTGTAGCTATTGTAGGGCATTAAAAGTACAAAGATTATGAAACAAATGCATCTTTCAACATAGTGTCAGATATATACTGTTATACTCTTGTAGCCGTGTAGCACATCAACTCCAAGAATATAGCTTATTCCTGTCCAAAGAAAAAATAATTGTGATGTTTTTTTGAGTGGGTCTATGTTGTAAATTTACAGTTAGCACCAGCTCTGATTAAAATGAGACAATGTACTATAAGTAGACAATATTGTAATTCAGTAGACTTGTGGAATATGCAAACTTACTGTCATGTGACCTCAAAAAATGACAGACTAGTACACAGTTCCAGTAGCTCTTGTCCACTTTTGTAGGAAAGTTGATAAGCCATTGTGGCAATAACAGCTCAACAAAATTGTTTGTTTCAAAGCTTTTAATCTATGTTCTGCAAAAAAGAAAAAAAAAGAAAAAAATTGCTGTTAAGTGTGACAGTGACTGACTTTGTGCTGAAATTTCAGCTATTTCAGATAAACATTGTATATTATCTTGTAAATTAATGTTTAAAGTAGTTTTGTTATTATAGAAAAGTGTTGATTGACGGGTTGCTTATAGCACTTTAAATTATTCTAGAAATGGAATAAAGGCCAAATGAGTTGGCTTAAGTAGATGTAGTTGTATATTTCAAAATATTTAGATATTGGAAAGTTTTAAAAACTTATTTGAAGACAGTTTACTGCTATGGTAATGAGAAAGGGCAGATGGTTCATCTTATAATATGCTAATGCTCTATATGAATAGAAATACAGGGCTTTGTTTCCTGTCTCTGTGTATAGCTCTTTATCCTTATTAGAACTTAGTATACAATGTGTAGACTAAATGTTTACAAAATAAGAAAGTGTAAATAAACTAAAATGGCTTTTCTCCCTTTGGTCTTCCACAGCAGTATTATTGTCTTTGTGGAGTTAAGACTGATTATTGCAAAAAGAGAATCCTGTAACGGATTTTAAATACTCTAAGGTCACAGTGATGTATAGCAAATAAATCTAAATATATGTAAAAATAAACTTGAGTTGGGGTTTATTTAGATGTTGAAGTGCGCTTAGGAGGACAAATGCAGGTTATTGTTGTTACTTGCATAGCTTCACAGAATATATAGAATTCAATTGCTCACCCTTAAGCACTAATGATCATTTCTTGCTCTTTTGATGTGCAGTAAGCATTTAGAAAATGTCTGGCCGAATGCTGCAAGAGTGTGGAAGAGGAGGAGCAAAAATATAAGTGCAGCTGGTTTTGTTTTATCAGGAATCTGTGCCTTTGTTCATGTCCTCTTTCTTTCTAGTAACATCAAAAGATAAATGACTATTAGTAGTATCAGATAGAATTGTAGGGGCTAGAAGGGGCCACTGGAGTTCTTAGCTTTGCAATTAACTCAGCTAAGTAATATCGTCAACACAATTTCAGACTACATTTCTGTAATGCCCTGGGAAGCAATATTGATTCATAAGGCAGTATTGGTTGAACAGGTCCCTCTTTCCATGCCTGAACTGCTGCTTGCTCATCTGCTGCATGCATAAGATTGCATAGAACACATCTGAAATATTAGGGAAAATATAGACTTTCAAGGTTGTCCCCCTTCAACCTTCATTTTTGATAGCCAAATGGAAGTGATGAGATTGAAATATGCTTGTCAGCCATTTTCAAGAAAACTATGATGAGCCTAATGTCTGTTGTGTTGAATTATAGTAGGATGTGATTCAATTAACACTTCACAGAATTATAGCACAGGTGAGGTTGATGGGCCCAGGCCCATGCGCGCATCACTTCTGAACGTCTCCAAGGAGGAGACCCCTGAGCCTCAGGGCAACCTGTTCTTCCTTGGGGATTCTTTGTACAGGTATCTAATATTCCAACTGTTTCATTTTCATGTTCCTTGAAATCATCCGATGCTTCTGGCAGAGAAAGCTCCATAGGAAAGCTCCTGTGAACAGGAGAAGGTACTCATACTTCAAAATAACCTATTGCTCTTTTACTTCTTGGAAGGTGGACATGCATTTATTTTCTAGTGTTTGGGAGAAGGAACCAAAGAAATCAATATTTTATTTATTATTCATATATTCCTTTGACAAGCAGACTTTCTCAAAACAACTTAGAAAGCTGTAAGGATAAGGTAAGAATATGCCAATATCTAAATATTACATTTTGAAGTCAGTTTTGCAGATCTATTTGAGTAGTCTGAGAGATCTCAATATAAATGCTAAAGAAATGCTATTGAATTCTTCTAGTAAAATGTTTTTTCTTCCTTATATTCACAATAAGTAACTGTGCCTCAAATAATGTTTTATGCTGACATAATAAACACATAGTAACCAGTTCTTTTATCACTTGCTGTTTAAAAATATATAACTCATATGTTCATTGGAGGTTCAAACTGGAATATCTGTAGTCTCATGATATGTTAGCAGTGTTTGTTTTATGACAGTCAGGATTTCATTCAACCTTCTGTAAGAAAATACTTGCTCTTTCAGCGTGAATATTCAGTCTTCTGAGGGGGGGAGGAGGGAGTTGGGGGTGAACTTTTCTCATTATGCAAATTACTTGTCCAGGTTTCTTGTTGTGTAAGAAATGCTTTGCATAGAAAGTGTTTTTAACAGCATAGGATTTGTTTATTTGTTTGCTCTTTTTAGTTTTTCCACATTAGTCTGGTGACATTGTGATCCATCTAAACCAATAAGCAATATAAATCTTACAGAGTTCTTGGATTTGACTAAAAGGCAAACACAGTTTTTAGACATTAGAATATTCATTCATTGGGATGTATTTCTCTTCAGCATCCCACAGAATCTCAGAATGGCCAGGGTTGGAAGGGACCTCAAGGATCATGACACTCCAAACCCCCTGCCACAAGCAGGGCCACCAGCCTCCTCATTTAATACTAGACCAGGCTGCCCACGGCCCCATCTGTTCTGGCCTTGAACACCTCCAGGGACGCGGCATCCACAACCTCTCTGGGCAGCCTGTTCCAGCACCTCACCACTCTCTCTGTAAAGAACTTCCCCCTGACATCCAACCTAAATCTCCTCCCCCTCAACTTAAAACCATTTCCCCTCATCCTGCAGTTATCTACCCTTTCAAAGAGTTGATTCCCCTCCTATTTGTAGGCTCCCTTTGGGGACTGAAAGGCTGCAATGAGGTCACCCCGCAGCCGCCTTTTCTCCAGGCTGAACAAGCCCAGCTCCCTCAGCTTGTCTTCATAGGGGAGGTGCTCCAGTCCCCTGATCATCTTTGTGGCCCTCCTCTGGACCCTCTCCAACAGCTCCCTGTCTTTTTTGTACTGGGGGCTCCTCACTTGGACACAGTACTCCAGATGGGGTCTCATAAGAGCAGAGTAGAGGGGAACAATCACCTCACTGTCCCTGCTGGCCACCCCCTCTTTTGATGGAGCCCAGGATACCATTTGCCTTCTGAGCAGTGTGCCCTTGCGGCTGTAGAATTAGGCTGGTGTTTTTGGGTACTGCACAGCACTACTTCCCCTGAAGTCAGTTGTTTTCGGGTCTGGAGAACACTGCTTCTGTATCTTTTTTCATAGAAGTACATTTCAGTAGAAGATGTAATCACTTGTTCACTGTAAACATCAGTACAATTACATGACTATTCCTTTTACGTTATGTGTTATTTCCCCCCGTATATACAAGAAAGATATTTACATAGTTATTCATGTTTCATATTTTCTACATTATTCTAAACATTTTGTGCTTCACAGCTGATTACCAGAAGCCACAAAATAGGCTATAACTAAAAATTAAAACATTTAATAAATTATATAAATTATTAAATAAAAAAGTCTTGCTTATAAAAGATTTGTCTTAGTTCCTATGAGATCTAAGAGAAAGTTGGCGGTAGCTGTCACTGCAGTAGTATTTGCTTGTATTATTTATAAAAGAAACAAATTTGGTATCCTTGGTTCTATACAAATAAACCTTTTTTACATGCATTTAAATAGATTAGTTAGAAAATATGCACATAAGATCAAAAATTTGGTCTGAGTTTAGAACATCATTCTGCTTCTGATCTGTTGTGGTTTATATTCCCTGTTTAAATAGTTGAGAGGAACTTGAATGTAAGAATAAGCTAAAAAAAAAAAAAATGGAATTCATTTATAGCCATTTGTATTACTACGAGTTTCTATATTCATCTGCTTATGTTTTTTTTTTCTTTTTTTCTTATTTGCTTTGTGTATAGAAATTAACTGAAGTGTCCTGACAAGCTCTCCTGGTATAGAAAAAATTCCATTTGGATGCTTACATTTATCATGCGACAGTTATAAAGCTTGTATTTAAAAAAATGCTCAATGTCTTTCCTGTCCAGGGGCTGGAAAAAAATCTTATTTCAAATGTGCAAAAGCTAATAGCAAGGAAAAAATGAGGTTTTGCAAGGCACATTGCTCTTGGAGCATGCTTATTTTAATAAAGTAATTATGACATTGTCATCCCTTCCTTGCCATAACATTTCTCCCTCGAAGTCCACCAGCCCATGTTTCCTGGCTCTCATGAGAATCCCAACAACCTTATCTGAAATACGAACGTATCTCTCAAAGAGTTCCCCAAAAGTGACTTGGATCTTGCCGTCACGCCGTGGCTTAGCCATGGTTTTAATGATGAAACACAGATCTCTAATCTCCCTGTGAATGTGAGCCTCTGCTCTCTTGGCTCTTTCAGCGGTTTTGGTGCCTTCCTTTGGCCGGCCGTAGCCTTCGTCTCCTTTGTGCAGGCGTGTGGACATGGCCAGCTTGTGGTCAAACTCTTCACTGAAGGGATTCAGCTTCTGTGTTAGGATGTGCTGGTCTGCCCATTCCTGCCATCTGTTCTTCAGGCTGCTAACAGGACTGTACTTCCTATGAGCTTTGATGCTTTTTTCTTCACTGCACCTGCTCATGCTGAAAGAGACAAAAAAGGCATTTCAGCTTTGCATTTCATAATTTAATTATGATTCTGGTGCTAATCTTTATTAATGTATAAATGTATATCATTTTCTAGAGCAGATGGTAACCACCAGGTGGCATATTTTCCTCAGTTCTAAACTAGTTCTTTTAGAATCTTAGTCAAGATTTCAGTTGGCCCTGAAAAGCAAATTCGCTGATAGCTTGATTTCATCTTTGGTACCACTTTCTAGTCTAGATTCGAGTCCAGAGTTCATATTCTCACTGGTAAGGATACAAGGCTGGAAGAAACTTGAGGCTACTAATCTTCAGAGATCTTAACTGATTTTGTATTTGTATGGGTGCGTGTGTAGCAATATTGCTGAATGGCTGCAGGCAGATTGGTTGTTGATGTTCTTTCCTCTTGTGGCCAGTATCATGTTGTGAGAGATAGTCTGAGCTAATCTTTGTGCTGTCTGCATCCTGTCACTGTGTTGGTACAGAGCTCGCCTAGAGAGTATATTGTGCTGTGGCTGTACCAAAGTAATTTGTTCTCTAATATTTTTAGTCCCCAGAAGGCTGCACTGAAACCACCCCAGTAATATCTTATTATTATTAATAACAAAACAAAACTACAGTTATCAAAATACTGTGAACTTGCTGCATGTTTTGTTTTCTGCTAAACTTGTTGAAAGAGATGAGAGAGAATGGCACGGAGGTCCCTTGTTCAGGTCTGTGCACCAGAAAGTTGCCGGTACTGGGCAGTGCTGGTTCAAGAAGGGCAGACACCTCATGCCTAGGATAGAAGAATATGTAGGAGAACTGAACCTTTCTTTTCAGTTCTGGAGTTGCCACTTGCTTGGCTTAGCTGTATTGAGAAATTCTACTGAAAAGCTCCAAAAATACTCTTCACAGTCAACATGATAAAAAGCACAAGAAGAATCAGGCTGCTCCGCCATCTTTCCAGGGACCGTGACCTCTGAGAAAGTCCTGAATCCGCAGTTCCCCACGTAGAGAGGAGAATCTGGCAGTGAGTGAGATGGCTGAGCTCTGTAAAAGCTTTTTAATGTCATTTTATTTAAATTGTCTAGTATTCTCACCTTTTCTTGCTGAAGCCTTTATTTCTCTTTTTAGGCCTTCTCAGTGGCTGAGAAAAACACCACCATATTGATTACTTTGCTTTTATCATGCTCTGTGTGGCTTTGGAAGATCAATATTGTTAATATTTTAATGTATTTGCTAGTTATAATTGCTAAAGTGCAATTTTCCTCATTGCTGAAGTTGTTGATGAGTTAATGCTGTAAACTATCATAGACCTGGAATCATTTTTTTCATGTCTGTGCAGCACATAACAATGGATTGGGGATCCAAATTGAAGATTGTGAGCTTTAACCTACTGTTGTAAGTCCACTATGAGTAACGAGTAACCTGCGTTAACAAGCTGCTGTTCTGCTAAATGATAACACTGATTGCATCCTGAACTTGCAGGAGGATGGCATCCATGTCCTGCATTCCCTACTATCCTGTTTGCAGGGAAAGAGCGTGAATCCCTTTTTAGTTTTGAATTTCATCTCTGCTGAATCCCTTTGACTCATAAACAGAAATTAAGTAGTACTTCTTAAGCCTGCAGAAGTTAACATTCACTCAATGAAGAAAGCAGCCTGATTGCAGTAAACATTTCAGTTGGAAGTCATGAAGATGCAGTGTGAAGGGGAAAAATACTGCCACCAATGTTTTGGGTTTTTTTGTCTTTTTTTTTCCTGGGATATAGTATGGAAAATAGGAGTTGTGCTTTAACAATCATATACTTTTGGACTTTCTGAAGAAGATTAAGTCCAACTGAGAGGTTCTTAAAAGTTGCGGACTGAAATTATCTATTCTGAGGCTATTAAAAAAAAAAAAAACAAAAAAACATTAAAAAATAGTAGTTTAAAAAAAAGAAAAATCCAGTCCTGCTAGTGGCATAGTAAATGAAGAAAATGACTCTTGCAGATTTCAGTGGAAGGGATAGCAGTAAGTGTGATAGGATATTATTTCTGTCATTTTCATTTCAGTGCTCTTCTATTTTCCCCCAGGTAACAGACATATGGAGAAAACATATGTAAGTTTTAAAAGAAAGATAGCTGATTTGCCCCTACTGTAACATTTTTAGCAAGCAATTTGTTTTAATTTGTGTTATTTACAGGTAATATGCTGCAAACTTATCCCCTTTCTCTGTGTGAAATCTTTGTTTTTGTGCTCATTTCTGTAAAAGAACTGCACAGGCTTTCCCAGCAGTAGGAACCACAGACTTTAAAGCTGTGGGTTACTGGAGAGCTTTTCCAGTTAGACTCTTAGCCATTTGTTCCTTCTGAGAGATGACTGGTCAGTTACACAGCAGAACGTTAGGAAGTGGTATCCTGGTGCCAACCCCTGCCCTCCTTGCAGGCTCATTAGGACAGGCCCTGGCCCAGCTGCAGTTAGGCCTCGGCAAAGACTTAGCACACCCTGGCCTCAGAGGCTGTGCCTGCCTTCATCACACATTTAAAGTTAGTTAATGTTAGAGGTCGTACACCAAAACAGTTCAGGCTTGATCATTCATTCATGCCTTCTATCTATGCTCTGCGACATGCATTTTGTGAAGCAGAGCAGTGGGGCAAATCATGCCATATCTAATGGCTGCCTACAGCTTCCCCTTGTGAGGTGTTGGACATGTGGACCTTTTCATCTTTTGCTGAGAAGAGTGTGATGAATGAGTTTGGCAGCTACCCTCTGGCAAGTCTGTCTCCAGCACAGCTGTTTGTAGCTGTCTTCTGGAAAGGTTGTTCTGCCAGAGCTCTCTGGGAAAGCAAACAAGAATTTCTACCAGCTTCTGCTGTTCCTCGGCTGTCTTGCGACACTCCCAAGGTTACGGCTGAACCTTATTTGTTCATTGCCTGGTTCCAAACGAAGCTGCTGTTATGTACTAATCTTCAATCACATTCTCTTATTGAAAGAAGTTTTACCCAAAATTGTCTGTTGCTATGATTTTGATTGCTACTTAATTCAAAATTCTCAGTGGAACTAGAAATAACTACTTCTGTAAGTAATAGATTCTGCTTATTGCTTTTTGTTAGCACTAGTCAGAAAGTTTGTATGTCAGAAACTTCCACAATGTTTGATGAAAATTCTTTTTTTTCTATTGATACTGTAGAGAGACTTTGAATTTGAAGAATCTATCAGTGATTCAAAAGTTCTTTTTGTCAAATGATTTATAACATGATTTATAAATTATTTATAACACAGCATGATTCAAATCAATACTTCGGTAATAAGAGGCAGGCTGGATGCTTTCTAATACATATTTGGGGTCTCAGCTCCTGTGATAGCTCCCATCCTTTGAGCTGGTGAATTCCAGTTTCCAAAGCTTCCAAGGAGAAGCAGTGAACCCAGCTTTGGTTAAGATTTACTTAGAAGTAATTCCAGCAGTATCTCTTTTTGGACATCCTGTGCAAATTATGCTTAAGAATGTTCATAGTTTAAGTATTTGGAAATATTTGCTCAAGAGCATTTCTTTAGACTTGGTGTTTGCAGAAATAGATGAATAGCTTTGGGTTCTTGTTGTGGAACAAAATGTTAGTCTGAAATACAGACTAAAACATTAAGAAATAAGTAGTGGCTTAGATGAACCAATAAATCTAGTGTCAAATTTAACGACACTTCCTAAATATAACTTCCCACTTCTCTAATGAGTATAGTCCATGAAACCCGAGTCTATAGTCAGATGTTACCAAGGATTAAGCCACTTAAACATAGGTATGTGAATGGCTTTCTGGATAGGTTGTTTTTTGTTGGTTGATTGTTTTGCTTCACTCTCTCTTTCATTCAAGAGAATGCTTTCTCTTTGACCATGTCCTGTGAATTATTATTTGTCCTGGTCTCGTTTTTCTTCTCTCTCAAGGAATTTTGGTCCTGCATCATGGCGTTCAGATCTGACTATTCCTGATACTGTAACAAAGGTGTTTTACTTACAGAGATGGTTGTTTAATCTTCACAGGAATCACCTCTTGGCTGTTGTCCTCTGGCTCAAGTCTGTCTTCTGCTTCCCCATAGCCACTGTCTTCTGCATCCATGCTGTCATCCTGGCACTTCAACAGCAGTTCTTCCCTAGTTCCTAATTTGTCCTCCTCTTCAAAGCCCTGAATCAGGTCTGATACTCTGTTTAAACATTTTCTCCTTATAGTGGGAGATAACTTCCCATTAAGAATATTGTCAATACCATTTGATTCTTCTTTGAACTCAATCGTCTCTGAGCTGCCGTGGTTGTTCTCGTATCTGCCACTGAGGAGGTTAACATCACTTGCTCGTTCATAGGCTTTACTTACAACAGTTTTCAGCACCTCTTTGCTTTTAATGTTGAACTTTTTAAGGGCTTCATCAGATTCTCTTGATTTTTTTTCAGCATCTGTTGTCACCAGTTCATTTGCTGAGGATTTTTCATCATCCCTCTTGGTAGATGGAACTGGCCATTTTTCGAAGTGTCTTTCTTGCACTGACTGAGCTGATGCGTCTCCTGCAGTGGGGACCCACCCAGGGGGTTCTTTGGCTTGCTTTACATTGTGGTCACTTGCCCACTGCTGCCATCCTCGGGCCAAGCTGAAGACAAGGCTGGCAGTTCGGATCTTGTGGACAGCTCTTTTCACAGGAGTTGTGCTCGGCTTCTCCTCGGGAGCCACGTTGCTGTCTGCAGCCATTCTGCTGATTAGCTTTCTGCTAAGCACCTCGCAGAAGAACTTTCTGAAGCAAGTAATGTCCAGCAAAGAGAGCTGCAGAGGTTTAAATAGAAGCGGGAGCAGTTTGTGCCCATGGAAAATATGTGAAACGCTTCTCACAAAGATACAGTATCCTCACTATGACGGTGTTCTTTTTTTAAAACAGGATCACGTTTCATCACAGCAGATGAATGATGCATAGTGTAGACAGGGTGACACAGGCCTGCGCAAGAACAGTGAGAAATTCACAGCTTCTTTGGGCTTTCTTCCCTGGGACTGTTCAATTCCCAGTTTGCTGGTGAGTGACTTGGTCTTCTGGAAGTGCATAACTTGTGTTTAAGATACTGAACAAGGAGTCTGAAATGACTACATGTTAGATGCTGTCAGTTGCTGACAACTTTGGCCAGAGCAGAGACCACTGGGCATCACAAGTGCAAGGTTCCCTCACAGTGTCAGCAGTCTATGAATGAGACATCTTCAGATGCATTTTCTAAAATGATACTAGGTGATTTCATTTTATTGCTCATATATCCAAGAAAAATAAGTTGTTGTTGTTGTTTTTTTTACAAGATATTTACGTGCTCTATTTTTTTCTTATGATCTACTTATGTCTGCCTAGAAGAAGGGCTGTAAAGATGATAAAGGTGTCTACAGGGGAAGATGAGAGGGGCGCTGAGGTCTCTTGTTTTCAGCCCAGAGCAGAGGAGCTGAGGGGAGGCCTGATGGCGGCTGCAGCTCCTCACAGGGAGCGGAGGGCAGCGCTGAGCTCTGCTCTGTGTGAAGCGACAGGGCCCGAGGGAACGGCATGGAGCTGCGTCAGGGGAGGGGCGGGTGGGGGTCAGGGACAGGGGCTGCACCACAGGGCGGTGGGCACGGAACGGGCTGCACAGGGCAGTGGGCACGGCCCCAAGCTGCTGAAGCTCAAGAAGCATCTGGACAGTGCTCTCAGACATATGGTCTGATTTTTGGGTGGTCCTCTGGGAGCCAGGAGTTGAACTCAGTGATCCTTATGTATCCCTTCTGACTTGGGATATTTTATGATTCTGTGATTTACAATGTACCTCTAGGGGGTCTAGGAACGCTGTCGTGTTTGATGTCAGCACTAGGAGTTAGTGAATCACTGTCTCTAGTCTGAAGATGAATATAAGAAGTCTGACTTGATTGGATGGATGAATGACCTAATTTTTATTTCACGTGTTGGGGGAAAAAGAAAAAAGCATAACCTGTTTCATTTCTGGCTTTTTTCAAGGATGTCGTGTACAAAAATTAGAAAAAATAATATTTAGTTGTATGTTATTTACACCAAAATTATTAGTAGTACTTACAATATAGGGAAAAATTGTTTCTTTTTCATTCCAGAGGACTTCCTGGAGAGCAGTCATATTTGGATTTATAAGATTATTTGTTTGTTTGGTGAATTGATACATCAACTGTTACATAATAATAAACAATTTCTGAGTTAGTCCTATGGTATCTTATTTCCTAGTATAATGTTTCCTAAATGGGAAATGAAAATGGCATTGCTTTTTCCATTCATCATACCTTGCAACACAGTGACTGACTTACCATGTGGCAGTCAGGCAGACTGAACTTGAAGGAATTCTGTTGGCTTCACCAGTGACATATCAGAGATAAATATGGACTCCTACTGCTCTGCTTCTTTCTCTTCTCTCTATTAAAGGCTGCGCTGTTGGAAGTAGGTTAGATCATATTTAGTTTCTGTTTAATAATAAAAGGCTTAATCATACCTTTGACTTCTAGGCAGAATTCCTCATTAATCTCTTGGGTCATTTCCTCTTCAAAACTGATGACATAATGTAGGTTAGTGTTGCTATTTGATATTTACTCATACTTTTTTTTTTAGAAAGAAATGTATGACCTCAGTATACTGTACAATCTTAGCTATTACCAGCTGCATCGTAATTCTGATATGGCATTGTGAGGTGTACTGGGACAACCTGATTAAGAAGTGTGTTATTGAGTTGCTAAAGGCTAGTCAGGAATTGGAGCTTCTTGTGTTTAAAAGCACACTGGTGCATGCATGCATACATACAGGGTGATGCATGTTCCTTAATTGCTGCAGAAGATTAAGTTGAAAGAAGAGTATAATGTGTGTGCCTGTAGGGTATAAAGAGCACAAGCTCATTATGTCATTTCCTCTGATTCTTTGAGGATAGAAGTGGCCAGGGCTTTAAGAATGCATTGTTACAAAATTGCACTCTTTTGTTCTAATTCTTTTTTTATATTTGGCATGATGAATCTGATTTTTAATGCTTGCTCCAGTGTTCTTGCAACTTCAGTCACAGAGGCACAGAATGTGTTGGAAGGGCATAACAGTCATCTACTTCTAACCCCTGTAATTCATAAGCATATTCTTTGTTCCATTTTTGGAATGAACAAAAATAACAGGTAAGTTTAAAGGAAACAGTGAGCACATCCAGTTTGTTGGAGAGTTATTGTTATTCGTTTTCATGTGGTTTCCCAGTTAATTTTGTACAATTCCAATGAATTTTGTAGATGTGACAAAAATGAAACCAACGTTGCATTTGCTGCACTTGCCTATCCATAAAAGATGGCTATTTTTTGCTATAAAAAATAATTAAAATCTGTTTAATGTGGTTTTTCAAGTCAAAATTGATTGTACCTCTCCTTGCTGAAGGGCTCTGCTGGATTTGTTACTGTAATTATTGTGGAGGTTCTTGAACTTCTTTACTCTCATGCCATCTTTGCGAGTTGTTGTCTTGAAAGTCATAGTAATAAAAAAAGCATTCCACTCCTTAGGAAAGTTTGGAATTAGAACCCATTTCTAAGGATTTAGGAATAAAGAGAATTTATGTTTTTCTAATGGGCTTTGATGTTCTAATCATTGTCTCACAGACTTAGTGCTTACAAAGTTCAGATAAATGGCAGCAAAAAGTCAGAGACTATTGAAATTGAACACCAAGATTACAGTTGCAGACTACTATTAAATCCATGTTGCATGATAGAATGTTAAACATATGTTTAGTTTAAATTTGCCACTATTTTAAGCTGAAGTTTTAACATCAGCTGAGGCCAGTGAAACTTTGAACTGATTATTCCATGACAACTAAATTTATTATATTTAATTTTAGAGTGTATAATCATGACTTGAAAGTATTTAATGGTACCTTTTTTATATGATGACATTTCCAGTGAGAAGCCAATCATGAGAAAAGTCTAAGTAAAGTCTGAGTGATCCAGTCAGATTCATACTTTGTGGGTTGATTGCTTATGCTTCACTTCGCTAAGAGTCAATTTTTTTGAACATATATATATATACATTTTTTTATTCTTAGTGGCCAATGCTACATCTGAATGTCTGTGCCTAACATCCCTACTGGCACTTCTAAAAGCCAGCTACTAGGGTGTACCTCATGTTCTAATGCACAGCAATTGCATCCTGGTGGTGACTGCATCCTGGACTTGAGGTGCAATTGATTACAAAAGGTGTATGGGAGGAATCACGTCTGGAGCAGGTAAATGAGTGAGTAGGCTTGACATCCTGTTTTGGGATTCAGTCTCTTTGACATTTTGGGACATGTCTTCTCAAGTTCCTAGGTCCTCATTGCTCCTTTTGAATTGCTGCGCTGCAATCTGATTTCCTGAATCAGTACTCAAGCAGGACCAGCTGAGAGCTTGCTACTGTTAGTAGTAGAAATTGAGGGGTTTTATTTGTTATGAAGCTGTTGGTCTTTTCCCTGTACGTTAGTTGTTGTCTGTAGTTACGTGTTTTTAAAAGCCATAGTGTAGAATATTAACAGTCTCTGAGGGGCTGGTTTGTTGTTCATTTTTTTTTAAGGATACTTAATTTTAGAAAAAAGACAATATCCTTCATTCATCATTTTACCTTATCAGACATTGTACGTTAATCAGACGCTGTAAGTTACTCTATGTTATGACATATTCTATGTCAAAACAAGGAATTTCATTTTCAAACAGTTGTAAGTATATGAAGGATGCTCTCTTCCTCCCCATAGTTAGTGGTGAAGAACAAGATCAGTCTGTGTTTCATAACTAAATATAACCAACTGCCACTTTCAATAAGGAATTTCAAAACAGAATTTTCTTTTCCTCATGACACTGGTAGAGCATGCTGTGTCACAACATCGTATATTGTTAGTGATTACAGAAAACCTGGGTAATGTGTTAGAGTTCTGGATTTATTTTTAGAGCTTGAGTTGAACGTATCACTTCTAACAATAGTAATGAGCAACTGTGCTTCATTCAGCGTGCAGTCTTCTCTATAGTGTCAGTGTCTGAGCTCTAAGAAATGGACCATTTTTATGCCTTTAAACTGAATCCTCTCTCTTTCTTTTCTGTTCTTTTTTTCTTTCTTTCTTTTTAATGAAAACAGTCTACACGGTTTTTGATGCAGTATTTTACACTGACATCCTTTTATGTTTGCGTTTAACCTCTTTTTTTTTTTTTTGGCTGAGATTCTGTTGTACTGAGTCATCTATTCCTCTGTAATTAACAGGGATTCTTGGATCTGCATTTCATTATGTGTAATTTCAGGATTCAACTGTATGAGAGTCTAGAGTTAATCCATGATCTATCATGACAGCCCTCGTTTGTGAAGAAAATGCACCCAGCAAAGTACCAAGAAAACTGTGTCCAGAACCAGACCTGAAGGACTTCATTGTGGAAGAAGGGGCTGGAGTGAGAGGAAAAAGCCACCATCTAATAGTGCAACTAGAGTTAATGAATTGTAGAGTACAGCCCCAAAACTTATCTCATTCTGGGTGAGACAGACCTAGATGAGAGTAAGATGAATGACAGAAAGCAGCCCTGTGCAATGTGACCTGACTAAAGATGAGCATTCAGCATGTTTTTTTGCTGTAGTCTGGTAGAGAGATCTGGGTGTTACAGTGAGAGAAACCCAACTCAGGACACAGAGCTGTCTCCATATATCTTCAAGCTCCCATACGTGTCCTCCTACTGAGGAGATCAGCCTTTGTGGTCTTTAATATATTCTTCCTCTAAAGTTGCCTTCAATTTACAGAGAAGGAAAAATAATGCTGTAAAGCAATTTGACACTCTTCCTACTTTAGCAGATAGTGCCCTTTGCTTTCCATGGGAATTGCATGTCCACATATCCACTATTTAATCAAATCTATACAGGAAAAGAAAGAGGCTGTAGGCTCAGATTCTTCTAATATCATTGTGCCTTCAAGCACAAACACATTTTTGTCTGACTATCTGAAGGGAGAGAACAGAAAAAAAGGAGCAAACAGTAATGAAGAAAATTCATTTAAAGGGAAAATAAATATTTGCAGGAAAGCATTTGCGTTAGGCATCTCAAACTGTTTGCAGTTTGAAACACTTTCTAAAGATTTTGAAAACAGAACAACCTTTATGGGATACCTGAAAATATGCTGCTATTCAGATGTTGATCATATCTCTTTGTCTGTGCATGATCATCTTTGATCATCTTTCTTTTTTTTTTTGTAGTAATTATTTTATGGCTTTGAGAGTATGAAATTATTGGCTGCTAATGAAACGTGTCCCTGAACACAACATTAGATACGAGGAATTTA